AAAAAAAAAAAAAAAAAGAAGCTACTTCATGGTGCCCGGTTCCCCCGGCACGGCAGCGCAGGGGGAGGCAGGAGGGAGCAGCAGCCGCCGCGGGCCGGCGCGGAGCGAGGCAGACGGGCGATACAGCCCGCCCCGGCCGCAATTAATTTCAGAGCTGCCGGCACGCACCGGGGCTGTAAAACATTTTTTGGTTTAACCTTTCCCACCGGCCGCCCAATCAGGGCCGGCGGCGTGCCGGCGCATCACCGCGCGGTGCGCGCGCCCCCCGCCCCGTGCCCCCCCGGCCGCCGCCGCGAGCACAAATCCCCCCGCGCCGAACAAGTCGCGCCCGTCCCGCGGCGGCGGGCCCGGCCCGGCCGCCCGCTCCCCTAGTTCCTGCGGCGGACTCAAGTTGCCACGAGCCGCTTTGCCCCTTCCTCTGGCGACGAAGGAGGCGGGGTGGGAGGCCGGGTGGGTGAAGCGGCCGCGGCACACCGGTGGCGGCGGAGGTACTACTTTGCGGATCCTGCCGAAGTCGCTCGGCGAGTTTATTTTCCCAGGCCCGGTTATTTCTGTTTGTTATTTTGCCGAGGCAGAAAACAAAACAGTCGTCCGGAGGGGACGCAGGCGGCTGGATGGGCCCGGCTTGCGGCAGCGGCCGGGGCCGGACGCCGCTGCCCGCGGCCTGCCGGGGGAAGACGGGGTCTGCTCCGGCCCGCTCGGGCCGTGCCCGCCGCTCTCCGGACTGTGAGTTGGGAGGCTCGGGAACGAGCGGCCCATCTCCTCCCCCGCGCTCGCCCCGTGTCACCGGCGGCCGGAGCCGGGCTTCGCGCTTCCCTGCCCGCCGCCGCCCTCTCCGCCCCGAGCCGCTGCCGCTCGGACGCCGCTTCCCTTGCGCGGCCGCCAGAGCCACGCGGGAGGCGTCGGGCTCCGTCCGCCGCCTCCTTCGCGCTGCCGGCCTGACGGAGCCAGCCGAGCGCAGGCCGCGCGCCAGGCGTACAAAATAAACGTTGGTATTGGTAGCCCATGAAATCGACACTGCGGTTTTCTGCCGGCCCGGCCCGTGGGCCCGGCCATCGGGGTCTGAGTTCCGCGGGGTTTAGTTTCGCTAGGAGAAAGGATAGGGCGGGCGGCAGCGGGCCGGGCTCTCCCGGGGCAGGGAAAGGGTCTGGCACCGCCGCGTTTCACAAGCAGCCGCGGTGATACAGGCTCGGGATTACGGCTGCGCTTTGCCGGGACCAAAGGGTTGGGTATTAATCGTCCACAGCATATAGTTTTTTACTGTCAGCACGGGAACAAACAAACAAACAAACAAAAACACCAAACAAGCGGAAAACAAAGTAAAATATATCGCGCAGCATTCTTTCTCGGAAAGGAGAAGGGGAAATGTAATGGACAGAGAGCGTGCTGATCGCATTCAGACCAAAGCTGTGGTAAACCTCTAGCAGCGCGTTAAGCTGCTTCACGTTTGTGCTGGAGGAAAAGATGCTCCGTAGAAACAATACGTGCAGCTCAACCCCAGCTAAAACAACTTATCCCAAGGAAATTCAGGTTAGAGCACAATGCAATGAATGCAGTTCTGTGCAGACTTGCGTTTTATATATGTGTTTGTGTATGTCTGTGTACGAGGGAGGGAGGAAAACCGAGTGTGGGAAAGAGAGAGTAAATAACGAGGACAAGTAAAATGGACCGGTAATAAACAATTGCAATTGGGGATGGCATGAACTCTGGGCATTGGATTAACCTCGAATGACCTTACCACAATTGTATTTATTTAACCAATTTCATAACAGGTTGCTACTGACACACACACAAGTTAATGATCAACAACCACTATTTTTTCCTTTGTTTGTTGTTTACTTTTAGATTTTTTTGGCTTTTTTAGAAGTGCAGGTTATTTGGGTTTTTGGGTTTTTTTGTGTTTTTTTTTTTTTTTTTTGTTTTTTTTTTTTTTTTTTTAAATCATGACAATTCATCATTATTTCGTTTCTCAACACCGAAGTCAATGTATGGGATTTCTTGACGAAGAGTGCAGTGAGGACGATATTATATGACTCTACCATGACAAGGGGTAAGAGGTAAGGTAAGCTTCCTGCATATTATTATGATTATGATGATCATTAACTAATATGTGTCATTATGGTGCACTAGGATCCCATTAGGGTGGCTGGGCCCAGTGCGTTTTCCTACTCGGTCTAGCATGTAATGATTCGGTGTAACCAGATTCTTGAGAAAGGACAGGTTACGTAAACATTTACTGATGTGGAGTAACTATACTATTTGTACTCTGATATGCAGGAAGGAAAGTGTTGATTAACACAGAAGAAAAAAAAAGCGAAATTAGCTGATTGCATGCTCATAAGTGCAAGCTGTCATTGAACTGCTTTTAAAATAGACACAGCTGGGTGTTTGTGTTGAAAAATTTCTTGTGTTTTTGCTAATACTGAAATAAGCATGATTTTGTATACCAAACATTTTCAGATCATTAAAATTTGTAATCTGTGCTGCTTTTAAACACAAAGAAAAGAAACAGATTCATTTCGTTGTAAAATTTGCTGATATTATATTAACTCAATCAGGTCTGTACAAATGGTGTATTGTGCCTTATCAAATCTCTTTGATCCATTTAATACACAAAGTGCCAAACGTGTGTATTGTTTGTTAACATTGAACGTTTTATTCAAATCCCAGCTCTGTAGCGAACTGGAGGAGTTCTTGTTTAATGTAACACTGACATTGCCTGTTGAAATTTTAATGCCTTGAGGTGTTTCTTAGGTCAAAGCTGAGTTTACTTTGTGTTGTGATCAGGGATGAAAATGTAGCAGGGAAGAAAATAGAAGTTTTATCTTTTTTGCATTTCTGAGCAAAAGGCTAACACCGCCAGAACACACTTTAAAAACATTTAATGATCTAGATTTAACATTTGGTCATTTGTCACGGGTACGGAATAAAACTCTGCACAAACTTAGGATTTATATATATATATATATATTTAATGCTGTGCATATACAGTTCTACTAAAAAAGGAAATGTTTTGTCCAATATGTAGTACATATCTTAATACGTCCACGAAGATTAATTCTTTGTTTACGGGAGAGCAAAAGATATGTGAGAGAAGCCACGTCAGTTATAATTTCTGTTGGACTTAAACTTTCAAGTATTTTTTTTTTTTTCCTTCGGCAGAAAAGGCACTGTTTATAAAACTATTTACTTTGGAAATGCGGCACTGTTACTCTAAAGCCAGTTCCTTCCTGAGCTCTGGCCCGAACACGACTCCACTTCAGTGGTACCTTTGTGCGTCGGGGCACTGCATGAGCGGCAGGTTTGACCGCTCAGCTCTGGCTAAACCGAATTCTCTTAAGAAAGTCCCTCATGGCAGCATTTTCTAACAGGGAGGGTTTTTTGGAGTGTTTGGAATAGAAGCTTGTGCGTGGAACGGGGGCGCACAGCCCCAGCCCTGTGAAATGCGTGTGGGTGTGCAGAGAGGAGCTGACTCTCTGCAGAGTGTGAATGATGCCTCACCTGCACGTTTGTCGACGCTTCGAATCCACCGAACCGAGCGGCGGGGATGGACTTAGAGTATCCAGCTCCGGGGTCAGGATGGGGCTGAATAGCTGAGCTGAAACATCCTGGCTGAAGTGCCATTCAACAGCGATCTCCGTGCAGCTCTTAGGTATAACTCGTAGGGATAGTGTTTCAACCACATACTTTTCCGTCCCCGCCCTCCCCCTACCTTTTTTTTTTTTTTTTTTTTTTTTTTTTTTTTTTTTAAATTTATTTTAATTTTTATTTTTATTTCGCTTTTAAATTAAAGGCCAAAGGAAGAAAAGACCCTCTCCAATGTACACTTAATGCATATAGCGTACTTCCCCTGCACCACCCCCCGCCCCAGGTTCAGCCTTCAATCCCCCTTCACAAGGGTATAGTGGCTCTGTACTCTTGGGCTCTTTCAAGGCGGTTAAGCTGCTAAAATGTACTGACAGCTTAAGAAATGAATGAGATTTTTTTCAGCCATGAAGAAAGGGTATTTAGTAACCACGCTTCGATGGCATCATGCTTCCATGAAACGAGTCCGGACACTTTGGTTTAACAATCAGTAATATCACATTCAGTATAGTAAATGCCTCCATGTACGCTTATATAATTCTATTCCCCCTTGACTATAAGCTTGCCTTATTTATTCCAGGTTACCTGGGCAATTAAGGTAAGAACTGCTCAGCAGATACTGATACCCTGCTGCTAAGGCATGGCGAATGGGGACCGAGCAGTGCGCTAACAAAGAGAAAGAGGTAGTCAAACATTTTGAAGAGGGGTGAATGGGACTGAAGGTGGATGGATGAATGGAGGCAAAGAGGGAGAGGAAGAAGCATTCAATGGTTCAGACTTCTCTCTGAATTTGTAGATTTAAGTTTAGGTGTCCGCCTCTAGCCAGTTTCCAGTTAATCCGCAACAGCTTCTAGTGATTAGAAGTTAGTCTATTTAGCATGCTATATCCTTCTTCCTTGGGTTTTAGTTACAAGTTATACGATTAGGATTGCGAGAACAGTAGTGAACTAAACTTCCCAGTAAGAGGTCTTCACACCAGGGAAGTGTTACTTTGCTGCAGCAGCCCTGCCTCGTCAGTCATTAGGAAGCTGCAGGTTGTCAGAGGCTTCTCTTGCGCGCACACAAGCGCAGACACACACGCGCGCACACACAAAACCACAGCACTAAAACTAAATTAAGAAGCCGATGATTAAGACAAGCGTCTACGAGGCCTGTCATTTCAGCATCCTTCCATCATAACATTGTGGCACCGAGAAATTTGCTTGAAAACCCTGGAAAAAAAATGTCTATGGGAGAGCCTCGTATTTGAGGTTGTTAATATCAAATA